GTGTAATATTTCACATCTCTTGAAAGTTGATTTCCAACCTCGGTAACGAATGCTAGTGTTTTCATGAATTGCTCATGGTGGATATGCATCCTAAAGTTTCAAATGCTGTAAAATATGATAGTATGAATATTTCCCTAGAAGGGTCATCTTTTAGAAATTCGTAGCAGGGCGAAATTGGCAAGAAATTTGCGAAGCAATTTAGACGATGCTAGACGCATTTGACATGCTATGGCCTTTCGACGACTTGAGCCGCATAATAACACCGTTTCTAGCGATCTCGTCTGCGTTGTGTGTTTCGGATATTAAACATGTTTATATCGTTAGTTCTTCAGAAAAGCGCAACAAATGATATTATGTCATCGACATATCAATTTCTTACTCCTCGAAAGCGTAAATTTACGGATACCAAAGTTGTTGTATTCACGGAAGGATAAAATTAACACAGCCGGGCCGTGCGCGAAATTAGACAGTTCAACTTTGCGCGAGTTATTTATCGCGGTCTCGCGACGTGGAAATAAGTTGACCGCATGAAATTACTTTTGAATACATTCTCCAGAATGGTCATCCATCAAATTTTTAAGATTTTCATTATAAAGGTAACAAAATAAGGTTTTAAACAAGCTTTGCGATCTATCCGACCGCTGGCCATTCCCGTTGTCAGAAAAAACAGTGATCTTTCAGAAGCTGCCATGGACGAACGGAACGGAATAATGTTTTCATTTTCCATCACGTACTAAGAAATATGACAAGAAAAAATGGTCTTTCAAAAGAATTGAATATCCATCGGTAGTTAAGCGTCCAAAGCAGTTTGTTTACAAACTAGTCGTTCCAGCTCCAGATTGAAATTGTATCTGGAGCTGGCTCCAGATTCGCCAATCTGGAGCTGCCAATCTGGAGCTGTCTGGCTCGTCATTATATATAAGCGCCCTGATTGGGGAGGACGCGACGTGAGCTCGCTTACCACTGATTTGTATGTAATACTGCGCTTGTGAGTTATATAGTAACGCTACGGCAAATTTTTGAATTAATTTCACTTCATTTTCTCATACTTCCTAATTTTCATTTTTCACTTTAAAAGAGCAGTGTCCAGACCAATCGACGTTAGAGACCAAAGGGCGCGCATACTTAAATGGCCATTTTGGCATTCATTTTATTTTTTTTCTAAAACTGAAGCTGAATCCTCTATGCATTGTAAATCATGTAAGTAGGTGCGAATAACGTGAAACGCCATTCTGGTTGGTTGCGTTTTTTCCACCTATATACCCGTTCTTCTTAAGGCCATCTGGAACTTGTATTCACAATTACCGAGTGAATTACGCATATATAAGAATAAGACAGAAACAGGTTAGAACAAGTATGGTTGAAGCTGCGTGAATAATTTTAATAAAACAACCTCCTCACAGCTAAACAATTATGTCTTTATTAAGATAAAAAAACATATCGATCCCAGCATGATCATTATACGAATAGATATATACATGCTTTATTCATTGAAATTTGAAGTACTAGAGTGTATAAATAAGTGTTTTGTGATATTTAAATTGCTAAACGCGACTGTTGCAACAATAAAAGTACGAAACTAGGCCCCAGTTACACGATACCAGATTCGCATCGGAGCGACATCAAATTTTACAGTTTCAAGGGAAGTTTAGCACTCATAACTTTGAGTAAAAAAACAGAAAAAGTCAAGAACTTCAAATATGAAAAGTTGTAAGAGGCCGAAAAGCGTCTTAGTTGACTCGACTGGCTCCGATGCGAATCCGGGATCGTGTAACTTGGGCTTTATAGTAGTTGCAAAAAACTAGAAGTTTCTTTTGTTTATTATGAAACACCAGTAATATTGTGCATTTGTTTTAGGTCTGCATAGTGAAAACCTTCTTCCTAATTTTTATTATGATTTTTGTTCCTCAATGGTCTTTTGAAAACGACAGCCTTTCTCAAAGTGCTCGTGAAACACGACATTTGTTTGCAGCCACCCACCTCAGATTGCCTGTTGGAAACCAAATCGTTGACTATAGCAAGCATGTCGGTCAATTGTTTGCTGTGCACATGTTTCTTTAAAACCTTCGTCAACTCAGTGATAAACCACGATCCCTCCTCATGATCTCTATAAGCTTCGTACCCATCTACACTTGAATAGGCAACCAGTATATCAGCTTCGGTGGGAACAGTAACAGAGAATCCGTGATCGGCTACCGTATTACCCTTAGGCTTACGAATCCCATGATCTATCCTTGTCCCTCTACAATTTTGGATGAAAAGAAGCTTCGGTTTGTCTACTAAAGTAGGACACTTTTTCAAATAATCAACGAGTGTGTTAATGGGAACTGTGTCACCATCGACTCCTACAATTCCCTCTGATCCTCCATGACTTGATATGAAACAAGTAAATGCATCGTAGGAGCTGAAATCTGCCTTAGAAATGGTCTTGAAAAGATTTCTCATTTCGTCTCCTGTGAGGTCATCTGTTTCCATGTCATTTGTTTCTTGGTCATCTGTTTCTTGGTCATCTGTTTCTTGGTCATCTGTTTCTTGGCCATCTATTTTTGAGTCATCTGTTGTTTCTTGGTCGATGTTACGTTTGAACTTTAGGGTGCTGGTATCATTTAGGCCTTTGATATCATTGACGGTAAATGTAGCAGTTTTGCAAGCTTCCTTTAATTTTTTTCTGTCAGCATCAGCACCATGACGGTTAGGGTACCGGTTGGCAACATCGCCCTGGAATTTTTCATTGACGATGATCAATGCGAAGACTTTAACAATTTCGTAGTGGTCTAGTTCTAACTTTGCCTTTTTCGTCTTCGATGCCATGGCTGCAGATTATAAATTAAAACACTCAAAAACTTTTAAAATGGATTGTTTCCGACTCTGGAAACGTTGTATACATTACAAGGATATTTATAGGTAAAGATTAAAAAAGTGCATTTGTATGTGCCTGCGATCATTTCACAATAACACAAATTTTGAAATAATATAGTCGCAGACTGATATACCATGCATGCCGAAGTAAGACTAGTGCGCCGTTATTGGTAACGTGTTTGTCTTACATAATTGCTTTATACATGATTAATTTAGGCAATAGAAATGTATGGTACTTTATAATATCTATACAAAGTTTGTACTCAACATGGGCGAAAAGAGAAACGTACATGCAGTTGTTGTTATCACGTACGGTATTTTTATAGGTAAAGACGTTGTTGCAAAGATCAAGATTTGTTGTTAAATAAGGTTTTCATACCTGCTTCTTACTCTGTGGTTATATTTTGTTAACACAATTCACCTTCAATTATATCAGACTGTCACTGTGGACAGTGCAATTCAATAATGCACTCAGAAGGCGTGGTTTAGCTGGATGTTGGAATAATGATTGATTACCAGGAATTTATAAAACAATGTGTGCATGCACACAATATCTTTCACGTTATAGGGTCAGCAAGTCGCTAAAGATCGAACAGTGTGCGTCTCTTCAATTTAATACCACGAACATTTTATTCATTTATCATGCATAATTTGCGATTTTGAAGACATGTTGGACAATATATATACACATGGGCTACGGCTATTCCGTCTGAAGATCCAAAATTCTTTTATGGATTTCGTTATGTCTCTGACATTTGTGACGCAAGTCACAAAACCTGAAACACCAAACAAACAAACATAGCAAACACTTCTGTCCTTATTAGGGTTTTACGTACATGCATCAATTTTACTCTAAAAACTAAAGTTTCGACTATACATATATATGAAATCAACAAAATTGTAATGTTTAACTCCCACGAAGTTTGTGTATTTCAAGATGGCCACGGTTGCTAACGTCATGCAGGCGAAAAAGACTGAAACAGATTAAGTTCACATCGGTTTGAGGATGTGAAAAATAGAGTTAAAATAAATAAATAACCAAGTATGCGGAACGATAATGACAACAGAGTAGGTGTTCAATCATATAGTTAATAGAAATATTAACTATGATTCAATGCTGCAGAAGTAAACCAATATAGTTAGCTTACGGACCGGGGACAGCTAGGGTGTAAAATTTTCATTATTTTGTATACGATGTCACTTTGTCAATATAGTTGTCAGTTAAATGTCAATTGTTAGCTATAAGTAAGATATTTTGTAAGATGTCAGTTCAAATAACTGTTCAAGTTATTGTTTTTATTTCAGATGTCAGCAGAGAATTTTTAACATTTTAATCCCAAATTGCTGCTTCATGCATGGTCCATACATTCAATGCACAGAGAAGGCACGGCTCGGCGACTAGCAATTTTGTTGGCGATTTTGTGTTTCTGACGCCGGATGCAAATGAGTGAATTCGCACAACAGGCTACAAAGTCGCTTTTCAAAATTAAAAAAATTCTCAGTCTTTTGCACAGAGAAGCAGAACATCCTTCTTCAACACATGCATAAAAAAGAATTCTTTATTTTGACCAATAAATTTGGAAATAAGCTTTAACACGAAAACGAGGCTCCAGGTCATGACAATTAACTTTATTAATTTGCTCATGGCATATAGATATATATACAACTTTAATCATTATTCCTACAAGGTATATAGGCCTACGCCATCGCGGCACAGGATGTTATAGGTATTAGGTGCAAATGCAATATATATCTGTATTGCTAAAGGCCTTGTCACACTATTGCGTATCATACTAGCGTATGCCAGCGTATGAAAAATATCACTCTACGCCGGTATACGCTGACATACGCTAGGGGTACGTTAGGCAAAGGTTGTATACGTTTCAAGCACGGTCGTGTAGGGTGGCATACGCTGGCAAACGCCGAGGCAAAAAATTTTTTTTAAGCATGTTCAAATATTTTGTGCGTATTGGACGTATGTTTTACACGATAAGCATACTCTAGGCACACGCTGAAAACGCTAGAGGTACGCCAGATGTACGGTACTTATACGCTGGCATTTCAAAGGATTTTTGTGCGCATGAAAATCATTTCATTAATTTTCATACGCTTCTCATAGGCCTACGTTTCTCTCATATTAAATAAATAAAAGATATAAAAGATATACCGGGCCTTAAATAAAAGATATACAAAAGTGGACCAATAGAATAGTGGTCAATTTACAATTATAAGAGTTGCAAAAAGAAATTCCTAAACTAGCAGTAGCACTAACGACACTATAGCTGGGACATTACGAAATTGAAAGCATTGTTATGTATTATTTTATGTATTATCTTCACAAATTGCATGCAGGCAGTTCTTTTGATTCGCTGGGCTTGGACATTTTCAAATTGACAGCTTTCCTTAAAGTGCTCATAAATAACGGCATTTGTCTCTTGCCACAATGTTCCATGCTGGTAACAATTTCGTTGACTTTAGCAAGCATGTCAGTCAAACTCATGTAGTGTGCATACTTGCTTAAGACTTGCGTCAACACAGTGATAAACCACGATCCCTCCTCCTTCAAATTTCTGTATGATTCGTACCCGTCTAAACTCGAATATGCAACTAGTATATCGGTTTCAATGGGAACAGTAATACTAGAGCTTGTAGAGTATGCAGCGTGTTCGGCTACCACCTTGTCCCCCACTTCATCTTTCATGCGTGGTCTGCAACTTTGGATGAAAAAAAGCTTCGGTTTCCCCACTAAAGTAGAACACCTTTTAGACAAATGACGAACGATTTCTTTAACGGTAATATTGTCACAATCAACTCCTAAAATTCCGCCCGAGTCTCCATAACTTGATATAAAACAAATAAAGGCATCGTAGGGACTGAAATTTCCCTTAGAGATAGTCTCGAAAAGATCTTCCATTTCTTCTGCTGTGAGGTCATCTGTTTTTAGGCCCCTGGTTTCATTCAGAGTAAAATGAGCATTTTTACAAAGTGTGTATATATTTCTTCTGTCAGCATCAGCGCCACAACGGCGCTCAAAATATTGGAACTTTTCATTGACGATGACCAATACAAAGGCGTTACGGATTTCATACATAGTTTTTAACTCAGGCACCACCAATGCCATGACGACGGATTAAACTAAAAGTATGTCAAATAGATAGTTTGTGAATCTCAATCTGTTAACTTTGATTTAAATGACATAGATTTATTTAGTATAACTACGGACATTTCACTGTCAAAGTTGTTGCAACTGCAGCGATATGAAAATGCTGTGCTGAGTGGTTATATTACTACCTTAAAAAATAAGCAGAAACTCGACGTTTCGAGCGAAGGCCCTTCGTCAAGAGTTAGTGCGAAGTTAAGTCAAGAGTTAGTACGAAGGGCTAAATAGTTAGTCGTCAAGAGTTAGTAACCTTCGCTCGAAACGTCGAGTTTCTGCTTATTTTTTAAGGTAGTAATATAACCACTCAGCACAGCATTTTTACATTGGTACTACCCACACTGGTACAGACAGTTTAAACGATATGAAATGCGTGAATATACTTATACAGGATGTTGTCGTAAAGACAAAAAGATGATCCAAATTTAGCGTGCTCTTGTGCGCTCAATAAAGATTAGAATTTTAGCTTAAACGACACCTTTTTGGTATCATTCCAAAAAAAGTGATAAAAAACGAACCGATTAAACATTGCCGGTCGAAATCACATTTTTCACCTGCATGGCTTTGAAAAAGCAATTAATCACCTATTGTCCTGCCAAACAATAAGTTTGAAATGTATCTATGTTGGACTTTTTAAATTAAAATATGTTTATGCTGACATCAGCAGAAATTGGTCAAACAATAGGATGAGAGTTGATGATAGTTGGTAGTCAGGCATTGTTCCAGGGGACATTTCAAGCTCTAGATTAACAAAATAAAGGTTTGATGAATGTTCCAACTATGTTTTAACTTCAACAGAATACATGATAGTGTTGGGAAA